CCACATATATTCCAGTTCATCCTTTTGTGAGTAGGAACTTCAGATCCAAGTTCAATGAAAACTCAGAATAGGAAGACCCCCAGTGGTGACTTCAAAAGGCCTTCAAAAGGCACAGGAAATCGAAGGGGTTGAGAAAAGCATAGAGCTGGTCAGGGTCTTGTGGGGGCTATCCTCTCTCCTGTAAAAATAGATTGTGCTCTGGTTCAGTTCTTCAAGCCGGAAAGAGAGAAGTCTGATGGAGACTTCAGGGACTGGTTAACACCTTAGCGACAGCAAGCAGGAGTGGATCCTGAAGACCCTGGCTGGCTCTCTTATCTTTCTGTGAAAGGCCTTGAAATCGGAAAGAGAGGAGCAATGCAGCGATCAGAAAGAGAGGAGCAATACAGCGATCAGATCAATCGATTTTTGGGCAAGCAAAAAAGTAGAATGGGAATAGCCCCAAGGCCAGACCTCCCAAACCCTGCTGAGTATCTTCTATCAACAACAAAGATACCAAGGAAGGTGTTCAGTTTCTCATTCAACTCTTAAACCCACAAGGAAACATTTCTCTAAAAATTAAAGGACAACCTTACAAATGTTTTACTGATATGGGCACAATAATATCAATCCTAAACCTTACCGCTGCTACACAACCTTTTCCTTTGCAGTTTTTAAACTACTCCAGCCACACATTTATCCTTTCCGTGCCTTCCCAAGGCCCCAGCCCATAACCATCAGCCTCAAACCTTTAACCAAGGAACACCACACTCATTAAATTAATAGCAAGGGATTTACTGTGTGAATGGAACTGCCATATTAAATGCTTTCCCTGATGGTCCCTTCCTTCCGGTCTGGTCCCAGAGGACTTTCCTATTTGTAATAAGATCCTGGCTCATTTGGATAATGATTTACCAGTACTTCTGTGTGTAAATCAAGCAGATTGAAGCTCTTTTATCAGCAAAAATTCTACCGGTATTCTCCTAGAGCTAAATCCATCAAGGTTCAATCTCTACCTAAACTTGCATAAAAGCCTCTAAAACGAGGCGATAAAGAAGGAATAAAATTGATAATTAAAAGCCTTAAAAGAGACAGAAGTCTCATACCTCGTCCCTGTCTTTGTAACTCTTATTCTCTCAGTTGAAAAACCCAGTGGGTAGGAATATGGATTCATTTAGGACCCCAGGGCCACAAATAAATTAGTCACTCGCTGCTTCCCTTTAGAATCAAACTCAAATACTATTCTATCTTCAAGGCCTATAGAGATTATATGTTTTACAGTTGCAAATTTATGTTGTGCTTTCTTTGGTGTCTTTTATTTAAAGACTGTATGTTTATTTGAGAGAGGCAGAGATAGTAAGAGAAAGCAAGACAGGAGAGGGAGAAGGGGAGGAGGGGAGAGGAGAGGAAGAAGCAGGCTTCCTGCTCAGCAGGGAGCCCGATGATCCCAGGACGGGAATCATGACCTGAGTCCCTGAGCAGATGCTCAACCTATTGAGCCACCCAGGTAACCCCATTTTATTTTTTCTAAAGATCTTATTTTTAAGTAAGATCTATACTTAACATGGCGCTCGAACTCACAACTCCAAGATTAAGAGTTGCATGCTCCACTGACTAAGCCTGCCAGGTGCCCCTCTTTGGTGTCTGTTTAAATTAAAAGTTAATACTTGCAGGACTCCTGGGTGGTTTAGAGGCTGAGCGTCTGCCTTTGGCTCAGGGCATGATCCCAGAGTCCCAGGAGCGAGTCCCACATCGGGCCTCCAGCATGGAGCCTGCTTCTCCCTCTACCTATGTCCCTGCCTCTCTCTCTCTGTCTCTCATGAATAAATAAATAAAATCTTTAAAAAAAAAAAAGTTAATACTTGCTTGTCTTCTCCAGGGAAACTCAACAATAGTACCTGGACCATATGCCTCAGTTTACCAAGGTGGCCTCCTACATTTCACAAGTCCTCAGCCTTGTGAGCCTTACACTGCCCTGTAGTTCTACTCTTAGTCAATACGTGAACAATCTTTTGTTCTGTTCAAAGATGAGGTGAGTTCTAAGGCTCAGTCATCTACTGCTCACTCTTTTAGCTCAGAGACGGCATTAAGGGTTCCACAGAAAAGCTGACAGTTTGTCAAAGGAAGTAACTACCCAAGACAAGACATCCTATGGAGGAAAATTCCTTACTCCAGACAACAAGCTGTGCAAAGGGTTTCTGGCCAATAACTAAGACAGTTATGAGGATCCTCGAGGGTCTCATTGGCCTCTACAAGGCAGTACATTCTCAACTTTTCTGAAATCTGCACGTCGTTAATTTGACCTACCCAAGCCCTTGCTAACCAAACCTTTTCTCTAGGAACCCAAACATGAAAAGACTTTTTCTGAGTTCAGATTAGCTCTTCGGTACCCTCCCATTCTGGGCCTAACCAAATATCATAAACCTTCAAGCTCTAAGTCCATGAGACATCTCTCCAAGTCCTTAACTTCCCAAGAACTGGGACAGACAGCTTCCTATGGCTTCTCTTGTGATCCAGCAATAAAAGCCTCCCCGTCTCGTCAAGGCAGAGCATCTAAGCTAGTGGAGTCTTCTGTGAGCTTGGTCGGTCCTTCATTCGGTACCATCTTTGTTGCTTCCTAAAGGTACACCTTTCTTAGCAGGCCGGTTTACCTCCCATGAACTCCAGTACTTTCTCTGAGATGCTAAGACTGCCAGGCAGTGCTCTCTTCCTCACTCTAGTAAGCAATCAACCCAGCTTCTCCTGATCTGCAAGTTAATTTTGATAGCATTTCCCAGCCAGCAAATGACAACCATCTTTATCAGATTTTGTCCTAAACCCCCATCTGAGAGATTTCGGGTTATTAAAAAACAAAAACCACCACACTTTCTACACACCTTTTATTTCAGCAAATGTCACTAATACAATCATGGTTGCTCTTTGCTCTCACTCCTACAGTCTCTTACTCCCCTGAAAAATGCTGGTCACTAGCAGGCTGGGGGCTTATCTCTGCTGGAAAAGAACTACCAAGGGGTCAGGAACGTGCATTATAAGTTCTAATCTCAATATTGTGTTCCTTTCTCCTGTGCTCCAGACCCACACAAATCCTGGTGCACGACAAAGGAATGAGCAGCATTCTTCAGTTAGTTCCAAGGAGTCCTGCAACCTGGGGGCAGGGTTGGCAAAGGATTCCGGAGGGGGGAAAAAAAAGGAGGAGGGGAGGTTTCCTAATTTCTATCTGCGTTGCCTTCTCCTTCCCCTCCTCAACTTTGCTGTCCCCTGCCTGCCTCAGGGCTGACTCTGGGGCAGGTCACAGGGTATTCTCAGGGCACCCTCACCCAAAGGACTTGCACAGCTCTCTCCAACTGCAAGCCGATTCTGGTGACCAGCAAGGGCAGCCAAAGGCTAACAAATGCCAGTCTATTAGAGGAGGTGACGGGAGCAGGCGCCCTGTTTGTGTAAATGGAGTAAACTGATTCTAAATTCCAACTGCCAGAGATGACCCTGTTTTTCATCCTATTTCCTGGTCCCTGGGAGTTCGGAAAAGACCCTGGGTGCTCAGAGCAGCAGCTAAGGTCAGTAAGTGCTGCCCCAAGCAAGGAATGGAGGGTACATTTGGAACCCGGATTGGAGGGTATCCACCCTGGGCGCTGTGGGGATGGGGAGCAGGAAGGTTAGCCCCCAACAGATAGATAACTCCTATGGGACTAAGCGCCAGCAGCCTGGGCTCTGCCTGACAAAAAACCTTGCCACAGTTACAGTCGTCCAGAAGCAGGAAGCAGTGGAGCGTCCTGACACTCAAAGTGGTCAAGCTGCTCCCACAGTCACATGTCAGGCAGTGGCAAAGCCCTCAGCCTCCGGGAGGAAGGTGGACACCTAAGTCTTGGGTGTCTGGATACTATACTTCAAAGCCGGCCCTGACTTCTGTGTTCTGGAGTCTTCCATCTGCCCCGTGCAAGATGTCACTTACACACGGGGGTGGGGGTGGGGTGGGGGTGGGGGGTGTTCTGGGGTCGCTGTGATTCCGGCACCAGGGCCTAACCAGTCCCTCCTGCTTCAGGCCACCCTGTAATCCCTTGAGCCTCTTGGTGCCCCACAGCGCCAGGCTAAGCCCTTCCGTGAGTCTTGCTCACCGTCTCCAGACGCCAAGAATTAGGAAAGAAAGACCGAGCTGGAAAACAGCTCAACACCTTTAAAGAACTCCCGGGTAACGGGCTTCCGCGCGCGCGCGGGCCGGGCCGGCCGGTTCTTGCGGGGCAGTCGGCTTGGAAAGAGGAACCCCGCGGTTACCAAAGAGAATGGGGCTGCGCGCAGGCGTGCAGGGGTCGGGGGGTCGGGGGGTCGGGGCCCCCCACCCGCCCAGCCCCCGGGGAGGGGGGCGCGCAGGGCCCGCGCGAGCCAGCGGCCGGCTCCGGGGGGCCGGGGTCGCGGGCAGGCCTCTCCCCGGATTTGTGACGTGTCGGGGGCAGCACACAAAGCCGGGGCGTCGGGGCGGGGGGACGCCCACCCGCAGGCCGAGAGCCCCGATGGGATGGGGAGGGGGCGGGCAGCGAGGCGCCCCGGGGCGCCGCGGCCCCGCGCAGCATTAGAGTGAGCGCCGAGTCGGCGGGGGCGGCGGCGGGGGGCGGCGGGGGGCCCGGGGGGGCCGGGGGGGCCCCGCGCGGCCGGCGGGGGGGCCGCGAGCGCTCGTCGCGCGCCTGGCTGCTGTGGCCGCGCTGGCCGCCCGCGCGCCCCGCTCGCCGAGGCCGCGCCACGCCCCCGCGGAGGTGGAGCGGCGGCCCGGGGCGGGGGCGGGGGCGGGGGCGGGGGCGGGTCGGCGGCTGGCGGCGCCCGGGCCCGGGGCGGGGGCTGTGGCAGCAGCTGCAGCGGCGGCGGCGGCGGCAGCGCCAGGAGCTGCTGCTGCAGAGGCGGAGGCTGCTCCTGGACGCGCCCGGGCCGCGCAGCCGGAGCCCCAGCCCCGAGGCGCCGGGCGGTGCTCTGGGTGCTGCCGCCGCCGCCGCCGCCGCCGCCCGCCCGCCGCCCGGGCCCCCGCCGCCGCCCGCGCCCGCGCCCCCGCCCGCGCCGCCGCCGCCCCCGGCCGCGTGTGTGCCGCAGCCCGGACGCCGCCCCCGGCCGGGTCTCCACTTCTCGGCCGCGCCGCCCATGACAGCGCCCGCGCGAAGATGGCTGCGAAGGGCGCGCACGGCTCCCACCTGAAGATGGAGAGCGAGCTGGAGCGCTGCCGCGCCGAGGGCCACTGGGACCGCATGCCCGAGCTGGTCCGGCAGCTGCAGGCGCTGCTCGGGCCCGGCGGCGGAGGCGGAGGCGGAGGCGGAGGCGGCCGGCGACCCAGCCCCGGCGCCGCGGTCACCGCTCCGGACGCCGGTGAGTAGGGCAGGGGCTGGCCCCGGGCGCCCCGCGCGCCGCCGCCTCCAGGAAGCGGGCCCCGACTGCCCCCGGCCGCCGCCGGCCGCCTTCGGTATTACTCTTGCCGCGGCGCTGCTCCTGGGAGCCACCCGGGCGGTTACTCGGGAGAAAGACCCCACGCGGGTTTGAGCTGGGGGGGGGGGGCGCAGAGAGAAACGGCCCAGGCCCCCTGCCCTGTGGGATCGTGTGGGCAGGTCCGTCTCCGGGAACCCGCGGGATCGGCACGGATCGGCTCGGGCCAAGGCTGCCGATCCTTGCACGGCCCCCCGCCCCCCGCCCCGTTGACAGCGGCGCTCCCTCCGCAGCAGACGGGGGTGGGGGTCGGCCAGAGCGCCGGGGCGGGCCGGAGACGAGGGAAAGAGGCCTCGTAAGCCTCAGTTTCCTCATCTGTGGTCGGACTCGGGACCCATCCGGCCCCGGCACTGGGCGGCGTTGGCAGGAGGGCTGGTTTGGCTGGGCTGGGCTCTTGGGCTGGGGCGGGAAAGCTCCCTGATGTGGCAGCCGGGGCAACACCCCGCCCCAGCCGGTCTCCAGCCTCAGCTCCTGTTCCCGGTGCCCCCAGCTCGGCCTGGGGAGCCCCCCCGGAGCCCTCTCCGTGGACCACCAGTTTAGAGCCTTGTGGAAGGAGGCGGGGAGTCAACGAATGCAGATTTTAGAGACTGTGCAGCCTGCAATGATAATGATAGTGACCATAGCTAACACTTATCCAGCCCTCACCATGTGGGGGGGGGCACCGTCCTACCAAGCCCTTGAGCCAACTCCTTAATTCCTCGCAACAACCCCATAAAGTGGCGACACTTTTGTTTGCCCCATTTGCAGATATGGAAACAGAGGCCCTGAGAAGTTAAATAACTTGATCATCCGGTCAGTAGTGGTAGAGTCAGGATTTGAGCCCAGGCGTCTGCGTATGTCCTTTTAACCACTTGCACTGTTACCTCTTAATGACGTGTAGCACAAAATCCCAGCCTGAGGAGTTGCCAGAAGGGATGGGGAGGTAGAGCAGTGACCAGAGGGCAGTCGTGGGGTAGATGGCGGAGGTCAGAGGAGAAGGGGTTTTGGGGAAGCAGCAGAATGTGTGCTGGCGTCAGTCTGGTATTGGGAAGGGCAGAGGGTGTTTGCCCAATGAGGAGGAAGGAGAGAAGGACACTGAGCGGGCTAGGTGACAGGGACAGAAGGACGATTGAGTTGAGACTTTGAGGTGGGTCTGAGTATGGCAGTGTGGAGGAGTGACCAGAGCTAAAGGCAGAAGCTGGTGAGCCCTCCTCTTCCAGGGCAGGATAGAGAAATTGCAGGTGCCCTCTCTCCCCCATGTGGGGCGATGTAGTGGGGTGGGGCTTCCGAGGGTGGATATGGAAAGGACCCACACAGAGAGCACTGGGCCCTGGGTAAGTTATGGGAATCTGAGTAATGTTGGTCTCACAGCGAAATGTTGTGAGCCAAAACAGGAACCTGACCCCCTCGAGTTCAAATGGGTCTGTATTTTCTAAACTGCTTTTTAGAGGTCTCAAGGAGGTTACATAGTTAATTGGTATCCCAAGAAGAAAGAGCTTAGGGAGCCCAAAAACTAAAGAAACTGGACCTAATGGATTCAGTATTGTTAATCAGACTTTTTCTAACTGCAGGACTTTTAAGAGCCTTTATTTTTATTTGTTTATTTTTTAAGATTGTATTTATCTATTAGAGAGAGAGAGAGCATGAGCAGAAGAAGGGGCAGAGGGAGAGGGAGAAGCAGACTCCTGGAGTGGGGAGCCCCATGCAGGGCTGGATCCCAGGTCCCTGGGGATCACAACCCAAGGTGAAGGCAGACGCTTAACCAACTGAGCCACCCAGCTGCCCCTTCAGAGCCTTTAATATGTTCACTTGCTGTGATGTACAAACCAAGGTTGGAGTATAAATAGCATATTTCTCAAACCTGCCTTGACCATATTCTAGGAAGCGTTATTGGGAAACACTGGTATGGTGTGGTTTATAAATGGTATGGTATGATTATAAAGTGCTTTCCCTATTTTTTTTTTTTTTTAATTCTTGTAAACAACCTGGTGGGGCGAGCAGGAGCTATTGTCTCCATTCTAGACACAGGGACACCAAGGCCCAGAGAGGTCACATAATGCGTATGTGACAGAGCTTATATGCGAGCCTCAGTTCCAGCCACCGAATCCACTCTGAGTGAAGGTGGGGGCAGGGCACAAGGAGCCTGGCTTGGCTTCACTGTGGGGACCGCCTGGCACAAGGGGGACCAGTGGGGTCTCTCCTGCCAACTTTTGGGTTTGGTTCTGGGAGTGATTTTTCTCCCATTGCTAAATCTGGATACACTGTCCCAACACACACGCAGGCGCACATGCGGACTCACACGAGGCAGGAAAACAAATGACTCCCAAACCTATGCATAGAGTATTTTTTGGATGGTCTGTTATTTTGTTTTTTTTTTTGTTTTTTTTTTAAGTTTTAATTTATTTTTTATTTATGATAGTCACAGAGAGAGAGAGAGAGAGAGAGGGGCAGAGACATAGGCAGAGGGAGAAGCAGGCTCCATGCACCGGGAGCCCGACATGGGATTTGATCCTGGGTCTTCAGGATCGTGCCCTGGGCCAAAGGCAGGCGCCAAACCGCTGCGCCACGCAGGGATCCCTGGTCTGTTATTTTGATTCTCTCTCCAAGGTTCCTTGATCATTTGAGGCCCTGTTATTTTGGAGCAGTATAGCGCTTAGCCCCTTCAACCCAGGAGGGAGATTCTTACTGTACCATTTGGCCTATTAGAGTCTTACGGTCAGTGACCAGCAGCTTCGACAGTTCTCTCCTTCAACCGAGGGGGAAAGGATCATATTGAGAGGGTAGCCAAGCCCCAGGTGAACCCCATTTTAGAAACTAAGGCCCGGGGATCCCTGGGTGGCTCAGCAGTTTGGCGCCTGCCTTTGGCCCAGAGCGTGATCCTGGAGTCCCGGGATTGAGTCCCACATAGGGCTCCTTGCATGGAGCCTGCTTTTCCCTCTGCCTGTGTCTCTGTCTGTCTCTGTCTCTGTCTCTCTCTCTATCTCTCTTTCTCTCTGTGTGTTCTCTCATGAATAAATGAATAAAATCTTAAAAAAAGAAAAGAAACTGAGGCCCTGAGTCCTGCTGTATCTAGAGTTTCCTACAGAAACTAAAAACCACTCCCAGGCCATCTATTTCAGTCCAGGGGTCAGGAGAGGAGGACTCCCAAGGTGGGGAGGGGAGTCCTCCTTGGGGTCTGGTGAGAATAAAGGGTTAAGGAGATGCTCAGGCACTGAGGCCCCTACCCCCTCTTATCTGGGAGGCTGCTCCCCACCACCTGCCCAGGGGGAAGATGGTTGCCACTATTTGTACGGTTTCTTTCAAACTCACATCCGGTTTAGATTTGGTCAGGATGGAGCAGGGGAATCCCAGAGTGTGGCTCGCTGTGATGGAGCTTGTTCATGTAAAAACAAAGAACCCATCCAAGTGATTAAAGAAAAAAGAAATGAAATTATGAAAAATTTCCAAAACCTCAAAAGCAGAATGAATCCCATGTACCCATTAACCAGCGTTAGTGATTATGAACTTATGAATTATCTTGTTTGAGCTACACCCCAACCTATTTTCTTCCCACACTGAGTACCGTAGTAGGTACTTATTAAAAAGAACTCTTTTTCTTGCAGTTGCAAAGAGATTTATTTACAGTGGTGTGTGAGCACATACATAATGAAGTGGTGACCACTGGGAGCCAGTGTGGAATCCTTGAAAAAAATTAAGATCAGAGTTCTGTTATACCAGAGGAGTTCTAAAGAGGAATTAGGATTTCAATAAGTCTCTTAGAATGTCATGGGCAAGATGACTTGGTGTGAGATAGGATGACAGTTTAGATGGTGGGTTGAAATTTCTTTTTCTTTCTTTCTTTCTTTCTTTCTTTCTTTCTTTCTTTCTTTGCAGTTTTCTGTTTTCATGTAATCAGTTGTATAATCCTTTATTTTTGGCTAAATAAGAGCTCTTTTGAAAAAAGCAAAACCACCATACCATTATCACACACACACACACACACACACACACACACACCCCAAATCTAATGATTTAATTTTACAGGTCATTTGCTACAATCAGGATCCAAGTGAGGCTACACATTGCATTTGCTTAATAGTTTAGGTGTCTCTTTTCTCCCCCAATATTTTTTCCTCCAATATCTTTTTTAAGATTTTATTTATTCATGAGAGACACACAGAGAGAATGACAGAGAGAGAGAGAGAAAGAGAGGGAGAGACAGAAGCAGGCTCCGTGCAGGGAGCCTGACATGGGACTCAATCCCAGGTCTCCAGGATCCAGCCCTGGACTGAAGGTGGCACTAAACCGCTGAGCCACCTGGGCTGCCCAGTATTTTTTTTTTTAAGACCTTATTTATTTATTCATGAAAGACACACAGAGGGAGAGACATAGGCAGAGGAAGAAGCTCTGTGGGGAGCCCGATAGGGGACTTGATCCCAGGACCCCAGGATCACGCCCTGAGCTGAAGGCAGATGCTCAACCACTGAGCCACTCAGGTGCTCCTCCCCCAGTATTTTTTTATGAAAATTTCAAACATTCAGCAAAATTAAGCTGTACTTACCTTATCACATGTCTGCGCCTCTATCCATCCATCTAGAAACTGTTAATCTGTAGTCATCCCCATCTTTTTTTTCCTTAACTATATGATACCCCCCCCCACTAGAGTTTGTTCTGAGCATGTCTTCAGTTGGAGTTAGGGAGGGTGTGTTTGAGGCAGGTGGCCCCCTACTAGTTTTGGCCTCTTCCTCCTCTCACTGTGGTTAGAAGTTCCCAGCCCTCTGAGGCCCTGTGTGGTAAGGTAAGCAGCTGCAGAGACCACTATGTCCCCATTTGACGTCTTGGGGGAAGAGTGCACCTGGCTGGACCCAGGTCTCTGACTGTGGATTGGCAGGCTGTGGAGAGGGGGCACCGCCCTGACAATGTGGTTCCTGGGGGAAGGGGCAGGTATCTTTGAAGTGGGTCCCTGTGACCTGGCACCTTGAGAGAGGCCTGGAGAGGGCTGGGAGCACAGGGGAAGTTAGCTGCCAGAGGCATGGGGAGTCTGAGGGGCCATTAAGTGGGGGCCTCCTCTGGGCCTCTGCCCAGGGTGGAGGGCTGGAGGCTGGGCTGGGCTCCCAGAATTCATACCCAGGTTCCCAGAATCGATTTCACTGTCAGGAAGGTGTTTCTAATGCCTCCGGGAGGGGAGAAGCTGGAACACTTGACCCAAACCTCCACAGGGTGGAGGTTTCAGACAAGATGATAAAAAGCCATGCTTTACCTTCAGAGAAGGAAGAATGGGAAAGCCTCGAATCCACCTGGATTCTTATTAAACAACTGGAAATCTAGAACTTTGAATCTAAAATATTCTTTAGTGCTATGCAGAGATTGGTCAGATGGGAATGGTGGGATGGACAGAAGAAGGGGAAGGAAGGCAGAGTGGAGAGGGAAGAGATGTTGGACCAGGAAGAAAAAGTCAGTTCAGTTCCCCACACCTACCGAACACAGACCCTGCCTAGGGGGAATGAAAGGTGGGGGCGAAAAGGCCGGAGAAGAACCTGAAGCATTAGTTTACAGAACAGCCTGACACTCAAGGGTATGTGACAGTAGGAACAAGTCTTATCCCTGCCCTTGAAATTGGAACTCCTGTTTGGAAATCCTGTTACTTGGAATTACTGTTACCTTTGAACGTACTGTTAACAGCCTTGTAGACTTCTTTATTTCTAAGCTGCCAGAAGCTCTGCTCTGCATGGGACACAGGGAGACAGACTGTCCTGTGGCTGTGTTGCAGAATGTGATATTATGTTGTTGATGTTGTGGGCTGGGACCATAGCATATCTTTATTAGTGTCTATAAAATGGGAGTAATATCTACCTTTTAGACCATGCAGATTAAAGGATACTGTGTAATAAAGCCCTTGGCACTTTGTAGGATCAACAAAAATTGGCCTGCCTTTTGTAGTAAAAAGATACTCATGGTTCAGAGCAGTGCTGCTCAAGTGATCTGTGGTGGATTCTTTTGATGTTTCGGAGGGTTTTTTTTAGTTCCCAATTTGTCGTGCTCTGATACTTTCATAAGATACACAAACCACTGCCCCCCATTTTTTTTTATCATTCAATTCAACAGATTCGAATTTATTTTGCCTGGTTATCATCAATGTTTCTAAATGTGTACTCTAAGCTGACTCATCTCCATGGGATTGGGTGGCAGACACAGACCCACCCTGGTCCACTGACCATCCTCTGAGCAGCACAGTTCAGAGGACACTCCCATTGTTTTGAAGAGAGGCGTGTGCCCTGGGCAGTGTTTCCAGGTTCAGGGTTGCTGGGAAGGAAGCTGGCTTCTCTGGGCATGAAAAGAACAATAAAGGCAGCAGATGGGTAGTGGAGCCGGAGCCTAGTGGGGAGCTGCTGGTGCACCCCTGCCCGAAGCCAGTCCAGGAGGGACTAGGGAGGGAGGGACGCTGTTCCCTCAGAAAGAGCAGGTTCTGAACTCTGCCTCTGGGTGAACAGGTGCAAAATAGGTTGGAGAGAGAGAGAGCCATGTGCCCAGTGGCCCACAGCTCAAGAATGCTGCTTAGGCACCCCACCTCTAAGCAGCCCACCTTTCATCCTAGCTGGCACCTGGAAATGGAGATTGCCTTTTGTTCCTGAGTTGACATAGATTTTTTTTCTAAGATTTTACTCATTCATTCATGAGAGACACAGAGATAGAGGCAGAGCCCATAGCCAGAGGGAGAAGTTAGGGCCTCTGTGGGGAGCATAATGTGGGACTCGATCCCAGGACCCCAGGATCACGGCCCAAGCCAAGGGCAGACACTCAGCCACTGAGCCACCCAGGCGCCCCAGATTTTTTTTTTTTTTTTTTTACTAGATAATATATTCACGTGGTCAACCTTCCAAAGGGACCAAGAGATAGAGTGAAAAGCCTCCCTCCGTCTCTGCCACTTTCCCTGTAAGCCAGAAAGGCCATCAGATATGTATGAATGCTGTCTCGTGTTTATCCATAAACACACGTCTGAGTCCACTGTGTACACTCTGCTTTCTTACTGGTGTGTCTTGGAGTTCATTCTTTAACAGCATAGACAGAGCTCCTCATTCCTTTTTTATGACAGCGTGGTGTCCCTTTTTATGGAAGCCCTGTGCTTTATTTAATCAGCCTCCTGTTGATGGACATAAAAGTTGTCTCTAATTTCCTGCTATTATAAAAAATGCTGCCAGACTGACCTTACACGTCAGTCATTTTACACATGTGCCAAGATCTCTGTGGCAGTGGGATGGCGGAGTCAACGGGGGTGCACAAAAATAATTTTGATGTATGTCATCAAATTGCCCCTTCTAGAGCTTCCGTCAGCCTCTCCTCTACCAGTGGTGGATGATAGCTTGAACAAGGTACTTTTTCAGCCATTTCCTCCGAATGTTAATTTTCGAAATCATGAGGTAGACTGCAAAAGATCACTATCAGGCTGTGGCATCCTCAGGGAAAATCTTTGGGGGCTGTTTTCTGGGATCTGGGCTTCCAGGGTATTCTCTGTGAGGAATGCCCTTTCTGGGGACTCTTCAGAGGCACACAATTTTGGGTCCATGGCTTTGAGTGGTGAGCAAACTGCAGTGGTCCTGAGAGTGAGGAGTGAGTGGCATTCCTGGGTAGGTCTAAGAATGCCACCCTGGCAGTAGAAAGGGCTCTGGGAAGACTTGGGACCAAGCAGACTTTCCTGGAGGCATTTTGGGTTGGCACGTGACTCCCTGAGCCTCTTGGCTTCCTCACCCCGTGGTGGAGGGGATCCAGTTTACTTGGCAGCTGTTTGTTGGGCACCTAAGCAGAGTGGTGGGCCAGGTCCTCACCCTGATTGCGGGGGACGGGCAGCAAACCAGTCACACTGAGCACTGCCACCCAAGGCTGTTGTGAAACCACATTGGACCTCGAAGCTTACGCACTGAGCACTGACATCCCACCCGTTCCCTGGGTCGCCTCTGCTGTAGGTAGTAGGAATGTGGTGGTCACAAGCCTGGAGTTTTCAGTGCTGTGTGCTATGTGGGGAGGTGGCAAGTAGAACCAAATAGTACAGGTTCCCCTGCCAAGTGGTGAGGTCTGGAGATAGGCTGACATAGGTGAGAGAACTCCAGAAGATGCCAGGACTAGACACGTCCAAGGATTTGCCCTGCTGCACCAATACATCTGCTTCCCACCTTAACTCTTTGCTTTCGTTGCTACATTATCCCTGGTTCTGTTAAAAATACCATCAAAATGGAGAAAACCAATTATGGATACACAGAAATTAGGAGCTCATGAAAACGCTTTAAGCCACCTCCTATATTTTTCCTCTTGGGTCGTTTGGCAGGGAATTCCTTCTTGATCTAAGAACTCATTACTCACAATGGGGCATGGGTGTGACTTTGTCCCTCATTTTAAATTCTGAAATTCTGGGAATTTGTCCCAAGCCTTGAGAGCTTTGCCTCCCCGACCACTAAACTACAGAAAATAAAACCAAAGGGGCAATTCATACTGTGACCATGATAGAATGCCTGTGACTTTTCTCCAAAGGCTGTTTAACTTTATGGGACCCATGTCGCTATTTATTTTCTTAGACTTGGACCACTCCTGTGCTGGGGCAGGGGTGGCTGGGTGAGTACAAGGCCATGTGTACCGGTTTCAGAGGGTCTACTACGTTCACTGGATCATCACTGCCCTGTTTTTCAGATGACTTTGGGAAATTGCTCCTGGCCGAGGCCCTCCTGGAGCAGTGTTTGAAGGAGAACCATGCCAAGATAAAAGACTCCATCCCTTTGCCTGAGAAGAATGAGCCAAAGATGAATGAAGCCAGAAACCATCTGAGTAGTATCCTTAACCACGGGAGGCTGTCTGTAAGTGGTCAGCCCCCTGTGCCTGGCGCCTCCTCTCTCCTCTCCTCCCTGCCTGCTATCAGTTCTTCCCTGAGTCATGTGGTCATCTGAGCAGAAGTCTCTCTTAAGGCTTCAGTACAGTAGCCACCAGCCACATATGGTGCTTGAGCCCTTGAAATGGGGCCAGTCCAACCTGAAATGTGCTATAATAAAACATACGCTGGAATCCAACGACTTAGCACAAAATGAAGGAGTTTAAGATGAGTAATTCTTTATATTGAGTATGTGTTAAGATGATAATATTTTGGATAAATTGGGTTAAATAACATATCTTAGGGGCGCGTGGGTGGCTCAGTTGGTTAAGCATCTGCCTTGGGCTCAGGTCATTGGGCTCCCTGCTCAGTGGAGCATCTGCTTCTCCCCCTCCCTCTCCCTCCCTCCCTCTGTGTGTGTGCGCTCTCTTTCTCAGATAAATAAATCTTTAAAAATATATATTGACATCGACACTAATTTTATCTACTTTTGCCTTTTTTAAGGTGACTAGAGAATTTTACCAAAAAAATGTAAATTATACATGTGGTTTAAGTTCTCTTAGACAGTGCTTGGTTGACCTAGCATGTGCTTGGTTCTGGGCCCTTTGGGGGAGTCTGAGGGAAATAAGACCACAGTGGGCCCATGGTCTAGTTGGAAACAGGCAAACATGTGAAGTTGACAAAAGAGCTCAGTAACAGGGCAAGCTAGTTTAAGTCTATGTGCATTTATTGAGCCCCTACTGTACAGAAGGCACCAAGGAGAGATATGGAGGGAAGTATAGTCAGCTCTCTCCACACCTTTGCTACTCTGACCGTGGTCTACCACCTGCAGTATGGGCATCCTCTGGGGAATGTAAAATCTGGATCAGAATCATCATTTTAAGATGCTCTCCAGTGATTTATGTGCACATTAAAGTTGAGACTGATCTGGATTTTTATCCTGAGCTATAATAGATGTGTGGGTATATCGTCAGAGACCTAAAGAGGATGTGATTTTTTTTTTTTTTTAAGGATGTGATTTTTTTCAAGGGATGTTCCAAAGTAATATATTTACTGACTTAAACATTTGTGGTGACCAAATGCCCAAGGCACTGTACTCCGAGGGCACTAAAGATAAATCTCTCCTGGACCCTACCCCCAGAGAGTTGGTTGCAGGTTTACTGAGAAAAGAAGTCCTATTGGCAAATTGTCCTAGGTGGACTGTGACCATTGCCACAGGAGTAGTCTACATGAGGAAGCAAGTTCAGGGGGCTACTCCCTAGGGTGAGGTGGGGAGTCAACCCAGGGTACTGGTAGTACTAGAATTGGATTCTTTCCAGGCAGGAGGTGGGGGGTAATTGACATATAGAGATAGGCTAGGACATTCCAGGAAGGAAGGAGTTTATCATTTAATGGTTCCTCTTATAAGATTTTCATTAGAGTATGTCAATCAGCAAGAGCAAAAGGGAATAGTGAGAAATTAGGTTATAGAGGTACCTTGGGGCCAATAAGCAGGGACTGAAATACCAAGAGATGTGGGGCTTTTTCTGCGGAGGAAATGTACGGAAAATTTAAGGATATCCCCTTCAGACTCCTTAACAGGGATTATTGTAGCCCTGAGAGGTTTTGTGTTACCTTAAACCAGCCATTTGACCTGGAGCATGTCCCCTGACCTCTTGGGCCCTCCAGTCTCTCATCTGCCAATCAGAAGGGCTAGACTTGATCATTAGGTCCCAAGCTTTTCCTGCCAAAACCCCTTTTCATTTTCTTTCTTTTCCAGACTCCATTAAATATTAAAAAAAAAAAATTTTTTTTTTACAGTGAAACGACTCAGGCTTATTGTTAAAAAGTCATTAAAGGGGATCCCTGGGTGGCGCAGCAGTTTGGCGCTTGCCTTTGGCCCAGGGCGCGATCCTGGAGACCCGGGATCGAATCCCACATCGGGCTCCCGGTGCATGGAGCCTGCTTCTCCCTCCGCCTGTGTCTCTGCCTCTCTCTCTCTCTCTGTGACTATCATAAGTAAATTAAAAAAAAAATTAAAAAAATAAAAAGTCATTAAGGAACAAGTAGTTTGAATAATAAATAGAAGTTCTTGTTTGCCACCCCCACCCCCAGAGTTGGGTGCTGGTCACCATTTGGTATGTGTCCCACATGCCTTTGTGTGTGCGTTAATGAACACACATATAGGGCTTTCTTTTCTCATTAGAGTAGGAGGATCCATGTTTGATGAGAACTTTCACTTGGAGCTCTCCCCATGCCAGTACTTCATTCTTTGCATGGGCTGAATAGCATCCACATATATTATCATGAAAACGGTTTGTATGTCAAATGACATTTACAAATTACACATTTTACCATGTTTTATTAATCAAAAGACCTTACATGGGCACCAATAACTCTGAGATAGTCATGATTATTCAGGCCAAAGCCAAAAACTTGATGCTGATTAGGCACAATAAAATTTTAAAAGTAGTTTGTGGGATTCTCTATCTTCCCCCAAAGGCCAGAGTGTGGCTGGGGGGATGGTCTCTCCTGGCCTCAGATGAAGCCCCAGCTGCAGTGCCGAGTATACTGTGTAGCTCTGATGAGATAGGGAGGAGATGTGGGCAAGGTGGGTCCTGAGGCCCATCCTGAGGGCAGTTTGGAATCTCCTCCCCATGATCTCAAAGATCCTATCTAGCTCATTTCTAAACTTTTGCTGTAACATCAGCTCTACCCCTTCCCCCAGCCCGAGTACCAGGCATTGTAAGATCTCATTGGTCCTCTCAGTAACCTGCTGGGGAGTTACTGCTATCTACATTTTCCAGGTGAAAAAACAGACCTAGGAAAGGTTAGTCACTTAGCCAACACCCTGCCAATTCTGCCCAGTAAGGACATTAAAACAAAACAAAACAAAGCAAAAACAAACCACAAAACCCAACAACAACCAAAAATCCAACAGGAGCCTGCTAATGTGTTTTTTGTCTTTTTAGCCACAGTACCTGTGTGAAGCCATGCTAATCCAGGGCAAGCTGCATTATGTGGAGGGCTCGTACCGAGATGCCATCAGCATGTACGCTCGGGCTGGGATTGATGATATGTCCATGGAGAACAAGCCACTCTATCAGATGAGGCTGTTGGCGGAGGCCTTTGTCATCAAAGGTAGGTATGGGCACCAGCCATGGCTCCCCATCACCGTGTTCAGCTCCTTCCACTCTGGCCCCCATGAGCCAGGAACAGGTGGCAACTGTAGGGGAGTAGATGCTGTGTTGACAGTTGGCCTACAGGGCCAAGGTCCCAGATATGTAACCCCTAATAGTGCTCAGGGTGCTGACCCACCAGGTAGATACCAGTGGCAGCCACCAGGCCAGATATCAGAGGACTCAGGTTCTCACCGTGGCTCTGTCAGTAACTAGTCACCCAACTGCATGTCCTTGGGCAAGTTACCACGTCACCTTTCCTGGCCCCAGTTGACTTAATGTGTGAAACAGAGTTGAAATAGCTGCCCTCACAGGGTTACCCCAACCAAGAGGAATCAGTTGGGTAACAGGGTTGAGAAAGACTTGAAAAATCTGCCGTCCTGTTGTCAGGTTGGTGCTGGTGACTGGCGTTGGCTACCAGTCGGGTGCTTCCTGGGATAGAACAGCCTGTCACTCCCCAGGTATTTGTGGGCACCTGCGGGTGGCACAGGGAGGCAGTGCTGGCATCCAGTGATGGGCAGGTCAGCACCAGTTCCCAGAGTGAGTGGTGTTCTGGTGAGGCCCCAGGCATACAGGGTCATGATAACGGGGCTGTGGATGGTGGCTCCCTTGGGACACTATGTACTGCCATTGAGCTGACCTTGAATACATGTTAGTAAAAGCCTGACCCCAGACCTTGTGCTTTTAGGCTCCTCCTTCCCCAGATCTATGAACCCTGGGATCATAGAGCCTGAGGAGTGGCCCTTGGTGGCAGTGAGGTGTCCCAGGAGAACCTCTGCCCAGATTTTTGTCAGGAGTCTTAGATGATTGGTCATTTCCTTATTCCAGCACCAGCCAGTCCCCAGAGAAAAGTCTAGACAGGCTTATGGCCGTATGGGGATTGGGTGCCTGAGATGGTAGAGTGTTTGTCACCTTCTCTATTGTAGATGGGGACATTCTTTCCATCCTATATATGGGTAAACTGAGGCCTATAGAGGATACATGCCTTGCCCAGAGTTGCTCAGAGATTTGTGGTGAAACCAGGATTGGAAACTCCACTCTGTCTTCTTAGGGGATTTACTGACATCTGTACAGAGCACGGCCTCCTTTGACTGTGGCTCTTACTCAAGGGCTCTTTGTCCACCCCTGGGTCCCTTTCCCTTTTGAGAGACTGTCCATGTCATTCCAGGAAGTCTGACAAGATTGTCACCCTGGACAGATGCCACACCAACGTGTGGGAGGGAGGTGGCCATTGGGGATGATCCAGTATGTAGGGTCTTCTCCCTTTGCCCTCTGGTCCCTTTTTCTGTGCCCCAGCCTAGGCCAGTTTTAGGGGTGTTCTTCATTTAGCTTTTGGGTCTTTTGGGCCTCTTGAAAGCCACTCTGCCATGGACTCCCCAAACCTAACACCCTTCCTTGGGGCCCTTTCCAGCACTTTCTCCTATAGCCCTGGCTCTACCTCCTGCTCCCTGTCTCCTGCTCTCTACTCTTTCCAGCACGCCTCCGGCTTGGGGGAACACAGTCCCGGTGGTCAGAGGTCCTGCAGGGGAGGTAAGGAGCCAAGAGCCGCCGGTGTGCGCTGCTCGCTCGTAGCCTGCGCTAGCTCCCCGCCTCTCACTGACTGCTCGTGGCTCCCACTTGCCTGCCTCCTGTCTGCTTGTCCTCACTGTCCTGTTGCAGCGACGGTGCCCTGCTGCTTGGCATGCTGAATTTTACCTGACCCTGTGTGTGCTTGAGATCATGCATGTGGCCTCCAGGGTGTGCATGATGTTGATTCTGTTGATTCTCCTGGGTTTGGGGGGACCCAGTGGGTCTCCCCATGTGGAGAGTCGGGGATGGGGATGGCTGGTCGTGGGGTTGTCTTAATCTACTGGGCTGCCATAACAAAATACTAAAGACAGGGCGACGCAACAGCAGAGATTTATTTCTCAGAGTTCTGGAGCCTGGGAAGTCCAGGATTGAGGTCCCAGCAGGTTCGGTGTCTGTGAGGGCTCTCTTCGTGGGTTGCACATGGCCACCTTCACGCTGTGACCTCACGTGTCTTTCCTCCATCTCTCTCTGTCCTTTTCTTATAAAGCCACCAATCTCATCACAAAGCCCCCTCCCTCATGACCTCATCTAACCCGAATTACCTCCTGAAGGCACCGTCTCCAGACATTGAGGGTTAGGGCTATGTACCACATGTGAGTCGGGGTGGTGGTGTGGTGGATGCAAACGTTCAGTGCATGGAAAGGATGGTGGTGGGTGAAGGCCATGGAATTCACAGAATATTAATAGTTATTAGTCCCTTGCTCTGGACCAGATACAACCTGACCTCAATGAATCTACACAATAACCCTGAGTAGGTATTCTCTTCATTCCTTTGTTATAAGATGAGGAGTTAAGATTTTATTTATTTATTCACGAGAGACACACAGAGAGAGAGGGAGAGATACAGGCAGAGGGAGAAGCAGGCTCCATGCAGGGAGCCTGACCTAGGACTCGATCCCGGGTCTCCAGCATCACGCCCTGGGCTGAAGGCAGATGCTCAACCACTGAACCACCCAGGCATCCCCAATGAGGAGTTACAGTTGATGAGGTGAAGGGACTCTGGATTTCACTGGAAATGGCAGAGCTGGGATTTGAACCTGGGCAGCCAGAGCTCATCACACCCCATGGTAGTGCTGCTCTGAACCCTAGACTGAGGTAAATCATAAAAGCAGTTTAGACGAGTCCCTCATGTTCCAGATGTGGAAGCCAAGACTGGAACTTACCCAGGATGGCAGTCAACTTGGATTTGAACTAGAATGCTCCACCAGAGGCAGCCTCTACAGGCTCTGTCTGTCTCCAGGTGACCTCCCCAGGAGCTTGCCGTGCCTACTCCTGAGCACTGTCTGCTGGGCCATCATACAGTATGTTTACTATTTTGCAATGGGTTGTGCTTCCTGGTTCCACCTTGCTACCATTCAGTGGGGCAGAGGGTTTCCTGGGCATACCTGGTGGGATGGAGGAGGATAGGGCCTTGTGTCATGGGTGAGCCTGAGCTGGCCAGGCCTGGGAGCTCAGTGGGAGTACGTGTGTGTGGGTATCTACAGCGTGGAGATCTGGTTCTTCTTAGGGGAGTTGGGAGGAGGCTCGAGGTCTCTTTACTCCCCAGCCCCCAAAAGACATAAAAATACACTCAATTCACCTACTTTCCCTGTCAGGGCAGAGGGACCTGTCAATGAGTCCTTCCAAGGCATCATTTACAAGGACTAGGCCTTCCTCTGAAGTCACGGGGATGTGGATTAGACCAGAAGATGCTTTCTGATTCTCAGGGAGGGCCCTAGACACCCGAGGAGGAACTTGAGGGAAGGGGCACTTGCAGCAGTCCTGGGTCTCTCTTGCCTGGACTACAGAAATGATATTTGCACATGTGTGTGTACTGCATGGGGCTTACACCACCCTCCACCTTGTGAAAGGTGTTTCCTCTTTATCCCTACTCTGTAAGGTGGGAGGCAGTTGTTATGCCCACTCTATGGATGAAGAAACTGAGGCTTGCCCAAGGCTGTGCCACCTGTACGTAGCAGGGCTGAGGTTGATGGCCAGGTGGTTAGCTCTCCAGCTTGTGTCCTACCTGTGAGAGAGGACCCCACCTGAGGAGCAGATTACAGTTAGCACCAAGATGGGTTCACGTAGAAAAGGAGAGTGCAGGTGGTGTAGGAGCCCCAAGAAAGGGGAAGAGGACAGGAGGCAGTCACTGCAGAAACCAGGCCCCAACCAGGAGGGACGATGCTTAATGGGCATCATCCTTCTGTCCTTCTGTCCTTCTGTCCCTGAGGGTTGCCCACAAGGGGACCTAACCGGGCCTTGGTTAGATAGGGGGCTTTAGCCTCTCCTGGCCTCCGTTCACCTTGGGTTGAATAGGAGCTGCAGCCAGCAGTGAAGCCCTGTACCACTGTCCCACGGGTCCACTGAGTGTAGTGCAACCCTTCAGTGGTGTTCAGAAAACTTCCTCTTATACATCAACAGCAGTTTCCTTGGTCTGTGGTGGCAGCTCTGCCGCTCTCCCACCCTGGTCCCCAGACCCCACAGTGGCTCCTCTGTGACTTCTACCAGCAGCCCCCTTCCCTCGCCCCTGACCAAGGATGGCAGACCAGGGGAGAGAGAGCCTTGGGGAATAAATATTCCCAGCCCGTTCCAAGTACAGTTAGTAGATGCCTGTTTTATTTTTAAGATTTATTTATTTATTTGAGAGAGAGAGCATGATCACACGAGGGTGAGCATGGGATGGTGGGGAGGCAGAGGGATGGGGCAAGAGACACTCAAGGAGACTCCATGCTGAGTGAGGACCCTGACATGGGGCTCAGTCTCATGACCTTGAGATCAAGGCCTGAAGCGCGCAGTGCGGGGCTTGATCTCAGGACCCTGAAATCAAGACCTGAAGTGAAATCATGAGTTGAGTGCCATCCAGATACCAATTTTTCATGGTGTTGCCTCCCTACCATCATGGTTTGTGTGAGGGAACATCTTCCATTTACTTCATTTTTTTTTAAGATTTATTTATTTATTTATTGAGAGAGAGAGAGAGAGGCAGAGACACAGGCAGAGGGAGAATCAGGCTCCATGCAGGGAGCCTGACGTGGGACTCGATCCGAGGTCCCCAGGATCCTACCCCCGGCTGCAGGCGGCACTAAACCCCTGCGCCACTGGGGCTGCCCCATTTACTTCATATTAAAAAGCAATCAAGAATGATATGGTTTCGAGGCCCTTCTCAGAAAGTCTGTTTGCAGTGCCGCCCACCCTCCTGAAGCCCTTACAGAGCCTGCATGTTTGATTCTGTGTGCTTATGGCTGCCAGCCCTGTCTCCCCACTGAACTTGATGCCCCTGGGGAACAGGAGGTCATTTCTTCTGAACCCCTACTCTTCTCTCCCTCTTCTCCCTTCCTGGAGCCATTCACAATCCAGCTGGATGAGGTCTGCTCCTGGCATCCAATGTGATCTACAGTTCTGTCCCTTTGCCTT